CCTGCAAACCAGCCCACCCTGGTTGGAGCACACCAGGACAGCAGAACTGAATTCCATTTTATTCCTCTAGCCATGACAGTGGGGTGATTTGAGTGAGCTTAAAATGCAAAGCTGCACATCCTCTCATTCTCGCTTGCATGCCTTTATCAGGTTTGGCACACAATCTGACATGGGAGTGATGAAGAAGCAGGTGTAAGTCATGGAATGATGGAAAGGGGCAGAGAAACTCCTGTGGTGTACATCACAACTGAAACAACATACAAAGCCCCATCCCCACTGCAGCATTAAATCCAGCATCTAAAATTACCTAGCTGCACCGCTGATAGGTCAACATCCTCCACCACACCTGAGGGTAGCAGGAGAGCTTAGTGAGTGCAGGGCAAGCCAAAGGTGCGCACATCTCTGCACTCCAACCTTCACCACCTGTCTCCCACCCTGCAGCCCCACTAAGTCGGCCACCTGAGACAGATGCTAGGCTGCCAAATGAGAGGACCAGACCTGACCCTGTGAGACTGCAAACACGTTTAAGGTGAATTCCTGTGCATGTTTAGATGTAAACAAGTCTTACAACCCAAAGCTGGGAGCTGTACAACTCTCTTCTGTCTAATCAGGTGTATGATCGTATCACCCTGGTGGCTCCACCAACCCCAAAAAACTTAAGAGGGTAGAGAGTCAAGCAGTGGGGTGGACATGCACCAGGAGTTTGGGACTTCTTGAAAAGGATTCTTAAAAGCAGCTAAAAAGAGGCTGATGCCAGGTACTGTAAGCCCTTTGGGCCCATCTGCCTAGCTACTGCAAATGGAGGGCCTTATTTTGGGGGGGGGGGGCGTACTCCCTTGTAAGGGTGCTTAGCCCTGCAACCTTAGTTTGGCCCATTCTTGTTGGAAGGTAGCAAACATGTGAGTAGAACACAAGTTGAACCAAACACCCTTCTAGTCCAGCATTCTCTTCATACAGTGGCCAACCAGCACAGCATGAGTGCAACAGCACCCTCCCAAGAGATGGGGTGGGCCTCTCTCCCTCCCTCATGGCATGACTATTTTTACTGTTGCATCATTGTTCAAAACCTCCCCACAATATGCTGTCCCTGAATCGCCCTGGATCTGGAGAGCGGAAGGGAAGTACATGGATGGATGGGGACAAAGCAGACTTCTCCTCATGAGGCATATGACCTGGTGCTTTGCCAAGACTTCTTCCAATTTCTTTGTAAGAGGATTAAAGTATCCTTTACACAAGCCTTTCTTTTTCCCCTGCAGGGGTTTCCTCCCTGCCTTTCTGGATATCCCGTTCCACAAAAAAAGGTGGTGCTGTGGTGCAGAGAGCAATTGCAAAATACACTCGCCTTTATAGTGAGTAAGACCTTTCAGAATATGTCTGGAAGAGGCCCGGAGGATGAGTACATCATGAAAAGGTCCAGCAGACTTCTGTGAGTAAGAGACATGAGCACATAATAAATGTCTTGCGTACAGAAGCCCAGTGTAAGGGCCCTTGCAAGTTGCAGTCTCTTCCATCTTGGAAAGGGGGAAAGTGACTTGTTCCCATCCATTCCCCAACACAAGCACATGAAGAGCTTGTTCCCGACAGAAAGATTTGGCTCTTTCTGGCAACTGCCCTGGGGCTTCAGAGCTGCACAGAAGCACACGTTGTCCCCGTCCAGCGGGGATAAGTGCTGCTGAGTTGGTGCAAAAGCTATGGCTGTGTCTGACTGGCTGTGGTGAGAACAGAATGCTGGACCAAGCAGGTTTTCAGTTTCAGTCGACAAAGCTCTTCTGGCTTTATTTGCTACACAGAAAAATCAGTCCACTGAGAGCTGATAGGATGGATTCACAGAAAGTGGAACTCATCTGAATGCACTGCAGATTTCTCCAGCATACCTAGATTATACTCTGCTAATGTGGCCACACCAAACATGCCAAATGAATGATGATGAAACACACATCAGAGGTTTCAGGGAAGCAAGAATTTAGAGTTATAAGGAACTTGCAACTATTATATTTACTTGAAGGCACACCTCACTATAAATTCTTCAACTAATTTCTGAAATGCATCACTGATTAAAGGATCTGCTCTCCTTGACTTGATCCTAAATGTTAGGGAAAGGTTAATCCAAGGGATTAAAGTAATCTGGGGAGAAGTGATCAAATAATGCTGGAGATATTTCTCTGCTGGGGTACCACAGGACAGGGCTCTGTCCTGGCTCTGTCCTCCCACCGTCCTGCCCCAGGGATATCAATCACTCGGGAATTTAAGAAATCCTTACCAAATTTGCAGCTGACACAAAAATATGAGTGATGGTTAACATTTCAGACAATTCTAACAGCCCAGCCACCAAGGCCAATGATAACAGATGATAGAAGTTGTAGTTCAACATTTGGAAGACCTCTAGTTATGCTCCTCTGAGGCACAGAATCCTTCACCTCTAGATGAACCATTGAGCACGATTTAACCAAACAAGCCTCCAGGAAGAGAGGAATAGCATCCCAGAAGCAGTTCTAAGCAGCTCTCACTGGCATCCCCTTTCCAATATTGCATTCGCACAGCATAACAACCCCAACTGAAGGGATGGATATGGGCTGAGTGTGGGTTTATTTATGTATATCCCACATTTTCTCCTTCCAAGGAATTCAAGGTGGTTTACATAAGCCTCTGCCTCATCTCAATCCCATCCTCACAACAGCCACCCTGTGTAGCGGGTTGGGCTGACCCAGCGAGTGGCCCAAAGTCACCCATAGCTGAATGGAGACCAGAACCCTGATCTTTTGAGTCCCAGTCCTGCACTCTTAACCGATACACCACTGGCTCCCACATGGATGTGAATTGTCTGAACCCAGCCACACTCCCAAACTAGCAACAGCCCATGAAGAAAATCCATGCCCTGAACTGTTTGTTGTTGCTGCCCTGAGTTGATCATGGCTCCCCCTTTCTCTCTTTGCAAGGCTTATAGCCTGAGGTGACGTCTTCTTACTCAGAAGTAACTCCTATTAATTCAACAGGAATTGAGCTTAGGGCTCATCTCCCAGCAACTGTTTTCGCTGTCAGGGTTCAAGCCTGGAAAAACCGCGTTAACATATTCCGAAAATGCCCGTGCGCAAGCACAAAGCAAGGGCATTTCTCCCAGTTAACAACCAACCAGAACCCGCAGAGGCTCCGAGGAACCGCATGCGAGCGCTGCCTGCCCCAGCAGGGTATCCTCCAGCATCAACCCGACTGGGAAGGATGGCAGCTGCAGTCACGTCGGGAGGACACCCGACCGGGCTGGGCTGTTCGGGCGCCTCCGCACCTGCGTTTCCCAATCGTGCCCGCAAGTCGCGAGCAGAGGCCGAGGCGCGCGCTCCGCGCCGCAAATCCGCGCCACCTCGCGCCCCGCGCAGCGCGAACGCGCCTGCGAGCCCGGCGCCGCGGCTGCGCCGTGCGCCGCGGCCGCCTCTCTTCCTCCCTCCCTTCCGCCGGACGAAGCGACAGGCATGGCGGCGGCCGGGAGTGCGCTGCAGCGGAGCGTGGCAGCGGCGGCCCCGGCGGGGAGACACACGGCGTCTGTCCTCTTCCTCCACGGCTCAGGTGGATGCTTCCAAGCCCAAAACCGTCTGCCGGGGCTCCGCCGCGGAAACCGGCCTAGCTTGCCCCAAAGGAAAAGGGGCTGCTACGAATGCCATTTCACAGAGCAGCAGTTGCCCGCAAAAGTGGAATCTTCCTGGAGGGCTGGAATTATTTTGGGTGCAGAGGGTTCAGTGCTAAAGAAAACCAAATGAGAACCCCTGCATTTCGGGTCCCGAAAGCCTGCCTCATAATCCCAGATGCTTTCCTTAAGCATCTTTATTTTGAATTCAGATGTGTTGGAGATTTCAATGTGCATACTGCCTTAAGATTGTGGAAGTAGTAGTCAAACATAGCAGAAGGGCACCGGGTTGGGGATGGCTGGATTAGCCTGTTTTTATGCTATGTCTACCCCCCCTTTTTTTTTTTGAATTGTCAAAACTGTTTAGAGTGCAAAACTTTACTTGCTTGCACAGAGAAAAGGCCCTGCACTTTCCACCATATCCCAGCCAGCATAGGATTGTGCCCTTAATCAGTCTGTATCCACTTTAGAACATGCTTCAGTGGTGCAGCTAGATCATTTTAAACTCTAGGTATAATTGTCCGTTTTTGGGCAGTGGGGAGCAACTGGACACACTATTAGCATCTCTCCCCCAACCATAATACCGTGCTTTACCACTGATCTTAGATTCATAGCACAATTCTGACAGCAGGACAGACATGAGGTTTGCTTCTGCTGCACTCATCACCTGCTGCCTTATATATGGTTGTTTGGAGGCCCTCTGAGCTGCAGCGTTTTGGATTTGGACCCATTACTAGTTGCATCACTGACTTGCCTTAGAGTAAGCCTTAATTCAGATTAAGAACAGTGGTCCATCTAGTCCAGAATTCTGTTTACACAGTGGGAGGCTATCCACAGGAAACCCACAAAAAGACATGAGCGCAAACGAATGCTCCTAGTATTGTGTGTTGGCTATAGTGGGACTAGATGCAAAACAATTACAATGAAAAGGACAGCTAATTGCCTCACACTGCCCTTACCATTTTTCTTTAGATGAGGAAATTTAATTGGAGAAAGTTCTGTTCAGCTATCTGTGACAAGAAACAAGGGTCCCATGTATACCTAGCAGTGTATTGCTGGGAGAGCATTAATGTGAGCTTTCTGTTTGTTGTAGTGAGCTCTGTTTCCATTTCTGTGACCTTCAAGTTTTCTGAGTCATAGGAATGGCTTGACTGCTTCTGCATAAGAAACAGTAATTCATATTAGACATTTCTCCACGTTGTATTTACAGAGTATGTGACAATAAGCTTTTTGTGTGTTGTTACATGCCATCAAGTTGCCTCTGACCTACGGTGACCCTATGAATGACTGGCCATCAAAATGTCCCATCCTTGACAGTCCTGCTCAGCTCTTGTAAACTCAAGGCTGTGATTCCCTTTATGGAATGGATCCATCTCATAGTTGGTCTTTTGCCTTTTTCTACCATGATTGTCTTCTCCAATGAGAGTTGCCTTCTTATTATATACCCAGAATACAACAGCATCAGTTCTGTCATTTCTGCTTCCAAAGAAAGTTCTGCCTTGATTTGATCTAGGACCCACTTTCTTACCTTTCTGTTGATCCAGGCACTTGCAAAGCTTCCCTCCAGTTACATGTTTTGAATGCAGTGTTCTTCGTGTCTGCTTTCTTCACTGTCCAGCATTCACACTCAGACGTAGCAGTGTTTTGATGCTGGAAAAATGTGCCTCTGAAGCTAGTTTGAGTGAGTGAGTGTCATAAGCACCTGTTAGATTGTTCTGTGACTTCACTGGTGATAATTTATAGGAACTGTTTATAGTTTGTTTTTACAGTGTATAAGTAATTTGTCAGAGGTAAAATCACTTTCTCTAGATATCTTACAATAACTGAGAGCCAGTGTGGTATGGTGGTTAGAATGTTGAACTGGGAGATCCCAGTTCTAGTCCTTGGTAATGAAACTCACTGGATGACTTTGGACCAGTCACGGACTCTCAGTCTAAATGGATTGGAAGAGAACTATATAAGCTGCTTTGGGTTCCTTGCAAGAGAAAAGGCAGAATATAAATACAGTGTAATAATAACATGATGGTGATAATAAAAATACAAATAAAATCACAATAAAATCAACAGTATTAATAAATATGCCAACAGAGCATAAAATAATGTCATACTGCATGAACTAGGATAATAAATACTGAAGGTAGAATCCTATGCAAGTTTCACAGGAAAAAGGGACAAAGCTCTCAACATGCCACAGTTTCTATGAGTTATAGGTCTTTATTCTGTCCAGGCTGCATAGGATTGCACCTTAGAACATTTAATGTGCACATTCCTATGAGAATGCCCATAACCTTCCAAACTCAGAAGGTAATGGGCACCCTATGCATTCCAGGAGACACATAGAGACAAAAGTTGTCCCCCAAAAATGTTTCTCTTGTAGGATCTTAGAAAGGCACCTGGCATGTTTTTTTTTCCACACAAGCTACAAGTGTGAGTGTGGATCCTCAATTCTGAGGTTGGACTAATTTTTCACCTTGCAGCTGAGCATCTGAATAATCTGGACATCTAGATGCTGCCAAATGGCCATAGGATTACTCTGTACACTGAAAAAGAAAAGAAAAGCGTGGGAGAATATGAAAGTCTTAGCTTGGTAGTGGAAAGATAGTGTGCATGCTAGGTAAACTTAATTTTGGAGAACATTTCAGAGCGGGGGGGGGGAGGACTACCAAAAAAAGCCCCTCTCCTATTACTATCCAGCAAGCCTCAGAATGAGGGAGTACTTGAAGAAGCGCTCATTTTTTTGGTGTTGCCTTTAAGCAAACCATCCGCAAAGTAGCATCGTCACTCCAGCAACATGTGCTATTGTTTGTATAGTCTTATATTGAAGCATTTGCCACAGGTGAGAAGGAACTGAATGCAGGTGAATGAGTGGGCTGGTAGAGAAAGGATGAGCAAAGGAGGGATGGTTTCTGGAGATTGGAGTCCAAGTGCTAGCCAACTTCTTTTGATTCCTGCTGTCAACAAGACTGAGCTAGTGCCTATAAGGCAATGTCTTCTACTCCTTCCTATGAGGGGCTACTTACAGTACCTGTAGAAGAGATTAGGCAGTGTTCAGAGGTCATAGGTGTCACCTGTGTAGGTTTCTCTTTGAAAGACCCAGGGAGCATAAAGAGCCAAATCACAATGGCTCATGACTGGGTTGCCAGGTGTAGAATGTGGGAGCTACACACGTGCAGCCTCCAAAATCTGTTCAGGACAACCAATCACAATTGTACAAGTGGAATGCAGTCCTTTTTCACCTGATTATTGGACCATGTCCTGTGTTAGTCCTACTTAGAGTAGGCCCATGATTAAGTAAAACCCTCTTTGTGTCAATTGATCAATAAATAACACATTCCTCAGGAGAGGGAAAAGAACAAGATTTCCCTAGTGCTCAGATGCTATGTAGCCTTCCACTTTCAAATCATTTTAATTTGAAGTATGAGTATGTTTTTGTGCCATATTGTTTAGCAGTGCTGGATGTCGAAGTCTAGTGGAAGGCTCAAAGGGTTTTCTTAATGTGGACTGGTATGTTGGCCTGCCTTACTCTCTGCTGGCTAGGTGATGGTGAGGGTGAGGGTGAGACATGGTACTGAAAGAAGTCACACGGCTCAGTTTCTGTAGCCTTTCAGTTGTCACACGGGCAGGAACATGTGCATGGCCTGGGTGTACTTAAATGGCTGCATGTTTTTCATTACCTTAGGGTTGCCTTTTTATCTGACCATAGGCATGCTGAAATTGTTACTCCTTGGCAGGTGCTATTCTCATACAGCTAATTAATTCATAGCATTTGACTAGGTGAGCTAGATCAAAGCTGGGTTTTATATGGTCTTAAATAACTTTTTTCCCCTTTCTTTTTAAAACTGTGGAACTTATTGGGGTTATTGCACTGTAAAGCCGTTTAAAATGGTTTTATCACCCTAGTGTAAACTCTCGTTTACAAGGGATCATTTTTCATGGAAATTGGAATTGCTGTAGTTGCCAGTTTCTGATCTAGAAACATCAGCTTTTGCTGAGAACTTCAGGAACGTGAGGCTTCCCTGATCCACCGAGTGTGATTGGCTACAGACCATTATCTACCCACCTCCCTCACTGTGCTGCATAGGTTCCTGCGTGCCACAGTAGGGAGGGCAGGAGAACAGGCAGAAACTCTAATCATACGTACCCTCCCCTAACGTATAGGAGCATGCCTACCCTAAAAAAAGGACAGCAATTGTTTGCACGTTTTTATGGAAGTGAGCCCCACTCAGTTTTACTGCATTCAGATGGCAGCCTGACAGTTATCAGCTAGGTAAGCATGATAGGAAAAACTCATGCTATCTGCTAGGAAATGTGTATTAGGAAATTTTCATCTATGTGCTTTGAGGCTTGGTTTAGCCACACAGAAGAAACAGGATGGTTACATTTTCAGTTCACTCATCCATCTCCCCAAGAGTTATCTACATGAGCCTTCTCCAAAATGCTACCCATAGGTGTTTTAAGCTGCAGCTCCCAGAAATTACTGGCCATTAAGCCCTCCTTGCCTGTTCTGATAGGAGTAGAAAGCCACAATTTCTGGATGTCATCAAGTTGGGGAAAATGGTCTATGGTAATTGGGTTTCTTTTCTACCATTACCTGCACAGAACCAGAACTGAACCTGGGAACATTTGCAGGCAAAGCAAGGGAACCACCAGGGAGCTATGGGCTTGCTTCACCCCTTTCATATCTGTTCTATAATGTCAGGTTACCAAATGAGACAGTTCAAGTACCCAAGCAATGGTTCAGCTTTATAACCTGTTTTTCACTTTTCTGTTTATGTTCATTTCCAGTGCACTCAAACTGGTAAATAAAGTTACTTATAGAAGAGGAACATTGGTTTACAATTTATGGAATCAGTTGCATGTTCCTATAATACAATTGTATCATATAATTGGTTTGTACTTAGCTGGGGTTGGGGGCAAGGGAGGGAATATGAAGTGCTGCTTGTTAGTCCTGATAACTAGTAAGACTGAACATGCCTTTCTAGGTGTGTTGTTCAGTTTCTGCTCGTCTTGGACATGAAATCTAACCAGGCCTAGTTCTTGGCATTATATAAGTACTAAATGCAGACGATATATTTCTGTATTATTCAGGTGATACTGGCCAAGGATTGAGAGACTGGATCAAGCAGGTCTTGAATCAGGATTTGTCTTTCCAACATATAAAAGTCATCTATCCAACAGCTCCTGCCAGGTACTCTTCAGTGCATTTTCAGTTAATCTTAAATGACTCTGTTAACTGTATGTGGTTATTGAGATTGTAACTAACTTGACACAAGAGTTTGATTCCTTGTACATATTTGAAGAATTAGCAAGAATCAGCTTCTCTCTGACTTGTCTCTCTGTTGCGCACTAGAAGAGGGAGTATAATAAGTAGTAACCACTGAAACAGGAATAATTCAGACAGTTATAGAGGAGAATATAATGCGTATAGTTGAGTTGGGTCTAGAATAGAATGGGATGGATCCTTTTGGAATCTGCTCCTCCAGAATCCACGGACTGCTTCTTGTGCTTGGCTCACTCCTGCAAAGCAGGTCAAGCCAAGAGGAGGTCTGCAGGCATTTGCAGACCCCCATTTGCACAACCAGCAACCTCTCCCAGCCACTGTTCCCAACAGCCAGCCTTCTTCCCCACTCACTGCTGCCACCAGCACACAGGGAAAGGGGGTGCAGTGTGCAGGAGCCCCTGCCTCCAATCCCAGCAGCTAACTTTCTTTCCTGCATGCTACTCAGTTCGTGGCAGTCCATGAACCTTGAGTGTGCTGGCCAGATACTCAGACTCTTGTTGCTAGTCGCGAAGCTGCGTCCGACCCATCGCGACCCCATTCCTCTAGGCCTTCCTGGCTTCCATCATCCCCCAGAGTCCACTTAAGCTCATGCCCACTGCTTCAGTGACTCCATCTAGCCACCTCATTCTCTGCTGCCCCCTTCTCCTTTTGCCTTCAGTCGTTCCCAGTATTAGGCTCTTCTCCAGTGAGTCCTTCCTTCTCAGACTCTAGGCAGCTGCAAAACAGTCCAGAGTCCAGGAAGCTGAAACCAGGGAATCCAGCATACTTTCTCCCCTAAATGGATTCCTCACATATCCTGATGAAGATGCAGTTTAAGCTGCATTTGCAAAAGTGTTTTTCTCCAACTGTACAATGATGTCCATGGTCACCTTTGGTAAGATGACAAGTTCCACAGAAGGTTTAACTCGGTGTTTTGTTTTTCAAAGCGGGATAGTAAGGTTTTTTGTAATTCTTTACTCCAGTTCTTTACTGGCCTCATCTTTCCTGTTTTCCAGGGGCCGTGATTTTCTTCTCTATGTTTGCAAAACACCTCAGGTCAAATATAGTGGATATTAGGCTTCATTTGGAAGAGCTTCATGGGCTTGCATGGACTCCCTTCCTGCAAGAGGGGAAACAAACCAGAATGCTGGAGTTAAGCATTCAGTTTCCCAGAGATACCTGGAAAACTATGACTGATCACTTCCAGACAAGCCAGAATAGGAATCCATTGTTCAAATTTGTTCTTCTATCTTGGTTTGTTTAGACACTATGAACCAGTGCTTTTTTTGTCATAGAACCCACCGGAACAGAGTTCCGGCACCTTTTTTCAACAAATTTTCCAAGTTTTAAAAGTAACTTTTGAAAATCCGATGTTTGGTCCACGTGGATTTGAATCGCCCTGTCGAGCGTAGCAGGTCGGCGGCAAAATCATTAAAACGGTGCATGCAGGCTGCTTGTGTGTCGAATCTGATACGTGTGTACCTCGTTCGCATTGGTTGTGATGGCACTGCTCAGCTTGTGGCGCTGCTTGGCTTGTGATTGGTCATGTGGTCGCAAGCTGAGCTTACTGCGGGTGGCAGCCGTTATGTTTCGTTACACAACTGACGTGTGTGGGTGCACGTATAGTGATTGACTACATAAGAATGGTAAATAATTTCATGAGTTCCGGCACCTTTTTTCTTACAAAAACAACACTGCTGTGAACCATAATTTTTTAGTAAATACAACAGGAAGCTATAATTAACTTTGGCTTACTGACTTGTTTCCCATTTCTGCAAGGGAAGGTGCAGAGCTGCTGTTCTTGAAGTTCATAAAGCTCAATCCTATCTCATTTTGTTGGCTGAGAAATTGACCGTGGCCTGGGTTCTCAAAGTATGATGCTACATCTACAATGACTGAATTCATTTAGCATCTGTATATGGGTAAGGGCCACAAGTGCAATAGACAGAGGTGGGAAGAAAGAATATTCTCTCTCTCCTTTTACAGTAAGGTAAAAATGGGTGGCCCTAGTAGCAGATTCAGTTTAAATGTGGATTCCAGAAAAGGTGGGGATCCACAACCTAGAAAAGGTTCGCAACAACTGATTTAAGTTACCACCGGGTGAATTAATATAATGGAATTGGATCTAAAATGCAGCCTTTTCTAGTGAGTTGTTCACTGATGAGAAGATACAGATTTTAAGGCCCTTGTGAAAGATTAAATGTTTAAAGTGTTAAACTTTGGCAGTAAAGATTGTTCTTTTGCATTCATTCCTTGTTCTTGACAGCAAACTGACTGTGCATAATTTGATCCAAGACCACAGTGGGCTTTCCGCAAGCTGTTCCCCCCATCCCTCTAAAATGGTCGTGTGCAAAGGAAAAAACCTGCTTTGGATTTGACTTTAGTAACTGGGCAGTAAATCACAGAACATCACAGTCCTATTAACTAACACAGTGAAATAGAGCAGATGTAAGCGAGGTATTTACTGTTTGAAGGATTTGGTGATTTGCAGAGAATCCTTTTGTTTGCTCAATATGGTCCTGTGGATAAGGGTTTGAATTTATACCTGTAGATCAGGCTTCAAATCTCTGTTCCGATACAGAACCACAGCCTGATAATGGACAAATCATTCTTGCTTTTTGAACTCATTCTTCATTTAAAAAATAGGTGCCTAAACAGGGCTTTTGCATCTGAAGGAATGTGCTCTTGCCTGTGAAAGGTCATAAAGCAATAAATTAATTAGTTTTTAGGGGTGGTTATAAGCATAAACAAAGTCTATTATAAGTACTGTGTATGGCACTGATTAGTACAGTTACAATTATTTCAGGATTTTAAATTACCGAGAGGGGTTTTATGTGCTGGTGGTTTTATTTATGTGCATGCACGTACATTCACATGCCCGCACAAGATCAAGACAAATGCTGGGCTCCTATGTTTGTGTTTAAATTGCCTGTTTTGTTAAGGTCTTTAGCACCAGCTATTTTGCAAATTGGACATTAAATTGTCTAAACAGGCATAAGATTGTGCTCTTAGCAAGGTGCTGGAGAAGGCCCAAGCTATCAAAAGGGAAATAGCAATGTAATGTCTGGAATAGTTTGTGCAGTGTTCTCTTGCCCTAATAAGCTATAGCTCTGCTGTTTGAGGGGGAATCTTCTCAGCCCAGCTTGGATGGACATCAGGTGGGAATGTTCCCAATGCAGGGCTTCCCTGAGGGCTAGGGGCCGAAACATGTCTGTGATGCCCAAATGGGTGGGCATGTTGGGAGAAGGGCTGAAGACTAAGCCACAGCAACAGGTGCAGGTGACATGATAACCCACAGAGGTGTGAGTTGTTGTTGAACCACAGATCCAGTTAAAATGTGGGTTATCATGTTGTTGAACTTAGCTGCACTAACAAGCCGCCATTTGTTAACCATGAACAACTCATGAAAAGACCCCATCGTTCCTTGTTGGGTTGGGAACTGTGGGCTGCACATTGGTTTGTTATCTTGGCCTGGTTCAGGCAACTGAGTAACTCACCTTTCAGCGACAGCCCACAGTTCCACAGCAACCCATACTCAACATTTGGGTGTGGGTTATCATGTTGTCGAACCCAGTTAATACAGCATGCATCCTAGGTCTCTTTCTCCATATTGCTAAGAACATCATCCCTAGGGAGGGAGGGAGGGCATACAAGGATTCTCTGGTACAGCTTGTGCTACAGCTGATGGGCATGACGGGATCCTGGAGGAAGTGCTGCAGCCCAGGAAACAAAGCATACCTGGAGCAACTGGACCTAAGGGGAAGGTCACACTAGGGGAGGTCTGAGCTGTCCAGCAGTTGTAGTGATGATGCTTCTTCATCTCATAAGGAACTGATCAAGAAAATACAGCTGCACCTTTTTTCAGTGCGAGAATCCCAAAGCCTCCCAGCTTTTATCCAGGAAAGGAATGCCTACACCCATAATATCTAAAGTTCAAGAAAGGCCAGTGTGTGTGATCTCTCGGATCTCACTGAAACTTGCTTCACTTACTGTACTTTGTTTTAGCAGAATGTTTCATTTAGAGCACTTTGCCGGCATGCTGTAGTGATAGCAAGTTTGCACGAGAACGCCACAGCTTGGCTGTTCACACTTGAGGAGTCTCGCTGCAGCCAGTTTGGGCTCTGGACTACTGTGGATTCCTAATGACATGCTCTTCAACAGCAGATGTTTTGGTACCAGCATCTAATAACACAGTTGTAGAGTGTGTGTGCTTTATGTCAAAGGATCCTTGGCTTCTATTCTTAAAAAGGGATCTGGTAGCTACCATAGCAAGTGAGGTTCTGCTGGAATCCCTGGAAAGCTGCTGCCAGTCAGAGCTAGATGAACAAGAGTGAGATGTAGCAGGAAGAAGCTTCCTGTTTTCCTAATAGTCTCAGGGCAAATGTAATGTTTTTGGACTCTTAACCATGATTAAGGAATCGGTGCACACAGGAGCCAAAGTCACTTGCTCAAAACCAGACCCCCATGCAGTCGACAGGAATGATGGATAATAGTAGTGCATGGAATGTTATGGCTAGTAATTAGTTTGCCTTGCCTTAATTATAAAATGATTGCATTGCCGTTGGGCCCAGAAGCCCTCAAGGGGGCAGTGTGTTTGCTAGAGCTTGTTATTTATATGCCAGTGATAAATTTAAGGGGTCTATTTTTCAGAGGCAGAATTGTAGAAAGCTCAGTTGTGGCCAAAAAATAATTTTGCAGAGATTAGATAACTTATTGGTAGGGAATTCGGTAGGAATCATGGTTTCTGTTTGAATGAGTCACTGAATTACCTATGATATAGAAATAACAACATCATCAACTTTCCGTAGTTAAATATAACTTAATCTTTTCTCATCTTTCCCCCCACCTCCCACAATTATTGTGATTAAATGTGCTGTAACTTAAGTTGGGGCTTTAAAAATAGCATCTGCAGCCATGTCTGTCCAAGT